TGCCATTTAAATCGTTTTGATTGATATCAAAATTTAAATTATATATATGACTTTATAAAACTTCCACTCAATTTATTTATTAAACGAAGAAACATTAAAAAAAAATTCACATACTTTTATATTATCATCTTTTAATAAAAGAAAATATTTTTTCATAAACAATAACATTGTTTAATATAAATAAAAAGTAATATAATATAACACACAAAAATATGTGAATAGAAGTTAATATACAAATAGATAATTCAAAAATAGAAGTTAATGAATTAATAAAACACAGCACAAAAATATATAAGATAAAAATATGAATAAAAATTAGAAGCATATAGATAATTTTCAAATACATATAATTTATATATGAGAAGTAGAAAACAAAAAAATATGTTATCACGCTAGAAAGACATTAACCTTTTCAAGAGTTATAAAATATTTAGATTAAAAAAAGGGAGACTCACAAAAATGCCCCTTTTTCAATACCCCTTTTCAAAAATGCCCCCTTTGGCTGTCCATTTTTAAAAATATCCCTTTTTATGTACAAAATGACTAAATTACCCTTCTTTTAATAAAAGATATCACAAATATATAAGGAAATATAACAAAATTAGGTCCACAAAATACAAAATATTTTTTGGCGGGAAAAGTGATCCCTCAATTTTTCCCGCCAAAACACTTGTAAAAAACCTTTAAAATACCTTGTAAAATTTTCCCGTAAAATTTTTTCCCGCCAAAAATTTTTCCCGCCAAAAAATTTTTTTTGCGGGAAAAGTGATTCCGTAATTTTTTTGGCGTTAAATTTTTGGCGGGAAAATTTTTGGCGGGAAAAATTTACAAGGTATTTTAAAGGTTTTTTACAGGGTATTTATAAGGTTTTACAATGTATTTTAAAAGGTTTTACAACGTATTTATAAGGTATTTATAAGATATTATAAGATTTTACAAGCTATTTTATAAAGTTTTACAAGTTATAAGATTTTACAAGTTTTTTATAAGGTTTTACAAGTTTTTTACAAGTTATAAATTCCTTATAAAACTTTATAAGTACCTTGTAAAACCTATTAATATACATTGTAAAACCTTACAAAACACTTGTAAATACTTCGTAAAACCTTTAAAATACCTTGTAAATTTTTCCCGCCAAAAAAATTTCGCCAAAAAAATTGCGGAATCACTTTTCCCGCAAAAAAAATTTTTTGGCGGGAAAATTTTTTGGCGGGAAAAATTTTTACGGGAAAATTTTACAAGGTATTTTAAAGGTTTTTTACAAGTGTTTTGGCGGAAAAATTGCGGGATCACTTTTCCTGCCAAAAAGTATTTTGTATTTTGTAGACCTAATTTTGTTTCAAATAAGAGTAAAATGGTCATTAAAAATTAAAAGAGGGCAAACTTAAAAATGGACTCTCAAAGGGGGCATTTTTGAAAAGGGGTATTGAAAAAGGGGCATTTTTAACAATTTTTCTTAAAAAAAGTTTATATGATAGTAAACTATAGAATTTAGATTACACGAAATAATAATATCTATTTTTCAAGAAAAAGTATGTATCCAAAATCAAGATAAAATATATATATAATTGTATAATATATTTAAGGAAAGAATTGTGATTTAAAAGTACAATTAGATACAAGATTTCTTTAAACAATAACGTTAGAGTGCAATGTTTCATGGAAAATGCAATGTATGAGAATAGGAAGAATCCAAATATAAAATTTAATATGTAGGAAAAAGAACATTTTATAATAGACAAGAAAAAATAAAATATAAAAATGAAATAGATAAAGAGAATATAATTTTAATATAAGTTTATAATGAATCAAAAATTTAATCAATTATTTTAACGAAAAGAACGTGAAAAGAGATAAAATGTCGCGAGGTGGACGACTGCATATTAGAATATGACGAATAAAATGACAGCGAAATAATTTCAAGAGAAATTGACTAAATTCAAAAAGATGTATGAACATGACATGGTCGAGATTGTATTATATTTCTCTGAATTTTTTCAACTAATTTTTTACCACGTGTTACCTAAAAATTTGTTGTTTTTTTCAAGAGAAACATTATTCTCAATAAAATCTATGTTATATATCATTTCATAAATAGGTTTATGTCATTATAGATTTATCTTTTAAAATTCAATATATATATTTATATTCACGGCTTATATTGTTAATAGCTTATAAGTAAAATCCCGCGCATTGCGCGGGGTCACAAATCTAGTCATCATAACCAAGCAAACCAGAGAGAGAGCAAAGCTAGTTTTAGTGTTCGGGTTCATTACAAAATATCAAAAATAGAGGCGTGTTGTTTTAGCCGTCATAAAATTTAGCAACCAATGGGGATCTGTTACGACATAATCGCTTAATGACATAAATTGCAAAAATAAAAATTTACAGTATAATTTTTTGCTGAATGAAAAATTACATAATAAAATAAGGGTGAATTAAAAATATATACCTAGACGACCAAATAATTAAGAATTTATACATGAAGACCGTTTATTTAGGTGGCTTTTTTTTTGCAAAATTAATATGACGAAAATACCCCTACATTACTGAAAAATTGTTACTGTTAAATATTTATGATTTAGTGTATAACTGTTTGGTTAACATGCTAAAACATATGATATCGCAATAAGTTTATATATTATGTGTTAAATACATGTTTATCTATTTAAATTTGTGAATCAATGTTTTATATTTATGTAAATATTAGTTTAATAAAAAAGAATTAGTCTTTTTCTTACACGATTAACATGATAACAATTATAATAACATGTTATATAAAATGATAACGTGCTAACATATTAAATATTCGAATAACATTTGTTTGAACATAGTAATATTTATATTAATGTGTAACCAAGAGCTGACATTCTACTTGATCGCCTCATCCATGGCTTCTTCCACACCTCTCACAAAATACTTTGAAACAGTCTGCTGCGATTTCTCCTCTAAATTTGGTTCGAGAGGAATAAGCTCAGCAGAATCAAACCAACCATAACTACTACCTCCGAAAAACGCAACAAGAACATGATCAATCCTCCTCATACGACGAACATAAGGAGACACAAAATTTTTAGTAAATATATGACCAGGTCACCAAGGCGGAGACTTTACCTTACCCAAACCAAATCTCCAACTTCAAACCCATAACTCAATGCCCTTGAAACTCCATGACCCATTTTCTCACTCGCAACATAATCATCAAACTCATATAAGAGAGATTTGTAATTAGAAACTCCTCGTTTCTCTTCCTTCAACCCCAAATCCAATTCTTTCTCATCAGTTTCAGAACCAAGCTCACTAGATTGATCATCAGAGCAATCATCATCTTCTTCTTCTTCTTTAAGCTTAGAAGTCTCATCATCTTTATCAATTGAAATATCTTTGCTTTTAATCTCAGATTTCGTTTCACTCATTATCATCTTCTTCCTCACTCCCTACGACACCATTTTTCTCCGATTTCTCACTTTCATAAACTCTAGCAACGCCATCGTCATTTGTAACCGTCGAATCGAGCTCCATAGGTGAAGAACCTCCAGCGTCATCATTCATCTTCAGTAGCTTCAATAGAATTTTTGATTTTTCCCCAAATTTGTTTTCTCTGGTCATAAATTAGATTTGCTAAAGGAATAAGGGTAAAAGAGTCAACAACATAGCTACAATAATGGCAAACAGTAACAAATATGTGTCAGTTAATTTCATGATCTTCTGAGTATAGATCTTGTAAATACCCATAAAATAAACAATTTTAAATTTATTTATTTGCATAGTGAGTTTTTATTGTATTTTTAAGAGAAAACGTAAATTCTATGTTTTGGTCCTTATTGTTTTCATTCTTATGAATATAATAACATAAGAATTCTAATTGGTACAGTATTTTAATTTCTATAATTGGTGAGCATTGTTTGCAATTTTTAAATTTATATGACCTCAACTTTACAATTTAAATTTATTAAATACTCACTAAAGCTCATTAGAGAAGTAGTGATGTATTGTCAACTTAAGTTTGTCCTAAACTCATAACTTTATAAATTCACCAAACTTTGGTTTTTGTCTTCTTTTGGCAAATTAATACTATTCAACTTTTGGATTAAGATATAAAAGGTGACAATTATTATTTGTGTACTAGATAATTAAGTGTTTCTTTCTATAGTTCATGTTTGTCTCTCCATATATAAATACTAATAAATTATTGTTTCGGAAAGTTTTTGTTACTTTATTCATTATTCTTTGTCTACAATTGAATTAACATACTAATATATCACATAAATCATGGATTGATCCGCAGTAACACGAAAACAATGGTAGTGGAAAGTGGAAACAATTAGATTTTACATATTTTCTTGACTTAACCGTAATAACAGATGTAAATTAATTTTCGTATACCTACAAGATATAATTTTTAAAAATGTATTATTTTATTAAAATTTAGATTTAATATAATGTTTCTTGATTAATTAAGCTAATTAAGCACATTTGAATTAGTTGAACTAGTGAAGTACATTTAAGATATTTAAATAATATTTGGGACCAAGTACTATTATTAATTTTTGGATAAGGTCTTTTTAGTTTTAAAATGTACTGAAGTGTACATAACGGTTGCTTATGATTGAGGAACATCAATTGCTACAGATCATTCCCCCCATTAACTCATTTTTATAATTATTACTCAACAATTCACCACCTTTTCTATTATTATTATCCATAACATAATCTATTTCATATTATTAATTATCAGCTCTTGGTTTTCTTTTTCCTACTAATATGTAGCCACCTTTCTTTATATAAAGTTAATTAAAATTAGGAGGTTTCATGCATCTTTTCTTAAACATATAAAGAATACATAGACATACATAAATACGGCATTGCAGATTCCTGATCATTTCAACGCTTTTCAGTTGGCATTTGTGTTACCATTTTGGATTTTGTGTAGCAACACATTAAAAATTGGTTCTTATCGTTAATTTTATTAATTTGGAACTAATTCTAGCATAAAAAAGGCTTAAAAATATTGTTCATAAGAATTATCAATTAACAATGGACCGAAAGAATGTATTTTAAGCCTCTGAAAAAGTGTTGAAGAAAGAAATTAAGTGTGTGTTTACACTAATTAAGATGTGTACATTGTACCTAAGTGTGTGTTTTTTTGTCGAGGAAATAAATTTTGTTGATCTTTTCGTAGATAAATGAGAATGCCAAGTTCTGAGGAGTGCAGTATTAGAACTTTAGAAGTAGGAGGGCAACAAAATAAAACTTTGGTTGTTGTGAATTTGTAATTCATATATGTTTATGGTACATGTAGGCAAATTATATGAGGGAATTGGCGTGAAAAATCTCTAGTTTATATATAAGTTATAACAATTGGGAGTTAGGACAGAAGATAAAAAAAAATTGGGATTTAGGACTTTCATAACATAAACTTTTTCTTTTCTTTAAAGGGCATTTCTGAAAATAACACAAGAGAAAAGGTCTATTAGTAAAACTATTGCTATATAATACCATTCATGTAACCATTTCCTTTCACCATACACCAAACAAAAATAATCAAAACATAACAAAAGGTTATAAGAAAATATGAAGACAGTAAAGAGTTTACCTCTTTTAGCTATGCTACTCGGTGTCATAATTGTAGCCGCAGCCATCTCCACCATCTCCGTCGAGGGCCGTAAACATCACGTCAAGAAGATTAAACCCAAACACCGTCGTCATTCCAAAAACACCCCTACCGGCTCACCGGCACCAGCTCCTTACCCGTCCACCCACGAGGGCGTTTTCAACATTATCTCCTTTGGTGCCAAGGGTGATGGAGTCTCCGACGACTCAAAGGTACTTCCATATATTTCAAACATCAACTTGATGTCGTCAAAGAAAAAATAAATGTTAGTATCTCAATTAATGTTTATATACGTTTGCGTTTGATTTTTCGTTTATATTTAGTGTCTAAAGTTTTTTTCCAAGTGAACTAATAATTACATAAAATATAATCATATCAACCAAAACTGTTTTTGTAATTGTACAACAAAATTAATAATTGAGTGGGCAGGCATTGGTAAGAGCGTGGAAGGCGGCTTGTGAAGTTGTCGGAGGGAAGGTGGAGATTCCGGCAGGGAAACAGTTTTTGGTGAAGGCAGTGACACTGCAAGGGCCGTGCAAGGAGGAGACGGTGGTTCAAATAGAAGGAACCTTAGTGGCTCCAGAGAAGATAGGGTCATGGCCTAAGTCAAGCTTGTTTCAATGGCTTAACATCAAATGGGTCAGTCATGTGACCATCCAAGGCTCAGGGACTCTTAACGGTCGTGGCTCTAACTGGTGGAACTTAGACACTTATCAAATTCAGGTACGCTTTATTTTTATTTAAGCCGTATACTAGGGACTTGATTCAACATAGTAAAAATCACTATACTAAATTAAAATCTTTTACTATACTTTGAAAGAAAGAAAAAAATTAAATGTTTTGTTATATGTTTTCAAATTGTATTTTGAGAAATTTAATTTTGGTTTGTTTTCTTTTTGCAGACAAGAAATAAGTATATCCCACCAATGAAACCAACGGTAAGTCTAGGCACTTTCACTAAATCATTTTATTTTCAGGATTTGTAAAATGTTTATTGATGGCTTATGTGAATTATTTGTATAGGCACTTAGATTTTATGCAGCTCATAACGTGACAGTCCGTGATATAAGTATCGTGAACAGTCCACTGTGCCATTTGAAGTTCGATGATTCCGACGGAGTCAAAGTCAACAACATAACGATTTCTTCGCCGGAGAACAGCCCTAACACCGACGGCATCCACCTCCAGAACACACGTAACGTCGAGATTCAACACTCTAACATCGCTTGTGGTAATTCATATTTGCTTACTTTAAATTTCATTTATTTGCTATATTAAGTAACTATATATATAGTTCCATAGATCATTAAAGATTAAATAAGGATTTAACATTAAAACGATTTTCTTAAGATATAAACCAGAACTTATAACTAAAAAAAGAAGATATTGTTATTACATTCATCATACAGTTATGAAATGATTTTTTTCTACCATAAATCATTCCATTGTCCTAGTATAATGCGACTCTTATCATTCTGAAATTTGAAATACATATATAGAAAAATACATGTATATATAATTGCACATAGTGGTTGTCACGTTGTAGACGCCAAAGTGAAAAAAATGTTAGGACGAAAAGATAATGTAATTTTTTCGTAAAGTATTGTAGAATAAAGAAAGGCATAAAACAGGAGAAGACATCATCTCTATACTATTAAAAGAAAAGTACAAATGAAAATGAATCAGGTTAAAATCAGAAAATTGACATGAAATTCTGAAATCGGATCTTTGAAATTTTTTTGGAATATAAATTCGAATTAATAATGAAAAATCGAAATAAAATCAAATATTTATGGAAATCAAATAAAATCTGATTGTACTTATGATAACTAATAATAAAAGCATATTCCAAACAATCTCTATACTATTAAAAGAGAAGTACAAATGAAAATGGGTCGGGTTAAAATCAGAAAATTGACCCGAAATTCTGAAATCGGATCTTTGAAATTTTTTTGGAATATAAATTTGAATTAATAATGAAAAATCGAAATAAAATCAAATATTTATGGAAATCAAATAAAATTTGATTGTACTTATGGTAACTAATAATAAAAGCATATTTCAAACAATATTATACATTAATTACGTATAATAAATTTGTTCATATATTTTTGGAACTAATTCCATAACAATCAACGTTTTTGTCATTAATTTCGCTCATTTTAGTCAATTATCATTAATTGAAAGATATTTTACTTGCTTCTAAAGATTTCTAGAAAATTTATCACAAATAATCCATCTGTTTTATAAATTAAATTAATATTTTTATTTTGGTCGTGTAAATTAAATAGATATTTTTATTTTAGTCGTGTAAATTAAATAGATATGAAATCCATGTAACTAATTTTAATTTAATTAGATTAAATCGAAATTATGATATTTTCATACCTATAGCTTACCAAAGAAGTTTAATTTTCAATTTATAAAGATTTCTTGAATATGATTTTAGAATTATTCAACAAGATGATAAGTATTTATTAAATTTTGTGAATAATGAAAAATAATAATTAATTTTTAATCATTATACTTCATCTTTCAATCTCTCATCTAACAAATAAGATACATATTCTATTATTAATATGTCCAAACTTCATTTTGTTGTATGACTAAATAATATTCCCATTATAACTGTCAAAACGAGTTGATTCGTCCCATTAAGTCCGTTTTGCGATAGACAAAAAATATTTTGACTTGTAGTTAGTCGGTCCGCACGACCCGCGGGTAGCATATATGAAATACAAACCCGTCCCGCGAATGTATGCGGATTTGCGGGATTATCCATGGATTTTGTTTAAATAATTTTAAAGTAACCAAAATTTAAAATACTACTAAAATAAATAAATAAATCAAAATACTATTAAAAGTTTGTTTAAATTACCACATGTTGAATAAATTATAATTTTACCAATAAATACTAATATGCGGGCTGATCCGCCAACCCGCGGATGAAAACTGATTAAACCTATGACCCACTGCGAATTAATCCATGTGGCCCGCTTATTTGCGGGTTTAATATATTTTCCCAAATCTGCCCCATAGTGAGATGATGTGGGCTGGACCCGCGGTTTTTGACCTATTTTGACTGCTCTAATTCCCTTACAATTTTAAAACACAAAATTCTATTTTGTAAATCATAATTATTACGATGGGTATATTTATAAACAATTTTACATTTTCTCTACAATTCGTTATTATGAATATTTATAAGTATACTACACGATTCGTTCTACTAAAAAACACACACAATATTAAACGCAACATATGTAAACCAATATTTTCCCGCGGTGGACCGCGGATCCGATCCTAGTTGGCTTAATTAAAAAAACAACATTTAATAACGGTATAACTGCCCCAAACTAACTTTTTATGCAAACAAGCAAGCATGCAGAGTGAAAAAGCTCACTTTTCTTTAATTTATTGCTAATAAATTAAGAAAGGTTACATGGTGGAGAGATTCTAAATGTTTAAATACAAAACACAAATCATATTATAATAACTTTAATAATCAACAATATGTTATATACATTCATCTATTTTGGGCAGGATTTAATTCTAAATTTCTATTTCAATCTTTTTAATAAGCATATTTTTATATACAGGAGATGACTGTGTATCCATTCAAACTGGTTCCTCCAATGTACATATTCACCACATCAATTGTGGCCCTGGCCATGGCATTAGGTATGTATACATATTAATAAATCTACAATTAACTTTCAATATATTATACCTTTTTCATTTTTTACTGATTTTTTGTTTGTTTGGTATATATTTGTTTTGGTTTGTGATCACAGCATAGGTGGACTAGGGAAAGATAAGAGTGTGGCATGTGTTTCTGATATCATTGTAGAGGATATCTCTATACAAAACACTCTTGCTGGTGTTCGAATCAAGACTTGGCAGGTACATATATATTCTAAATATAGAGACCACATTATAGCTTATAAAAAATGATATTATGATCCACAAGTAAATATATATGGTTCTAAAATTTGATATTATTGAAATATACAAAATAAAATAAAAAACTAAAACTAAAAGATATAAATGAGAGTATGAGACATTTGATGAAAATTTGTGTTTCTGAGAAAACGCATTAATCAACGCAAGCCTTTCAACAAAAATTTGTGTTCAATTTTTATGTTTTAATTTGCAGTTTTTTTTATATACATGAATCACGTTTATGTATGGTTTAATTCAGTTATTTTTTTATTAGATTGTAAAAAATGTTTGGTGAATGACGTGTATATTATGTTATATGTATTCGCAGGGAGGATTAGGAGTCGTCAAGAACCTAACATTTTCGAACATTCAAGTAACGGACGTGAAGGTACCGATAGTAATAGACCAATATTACTGCGACAAGTCCAAGTGTAAGAATCAGACCCGTGCTGTGTCGATTTCCGGTATTAAATACAACAACATTGTCGGTAGTTTCACGGTGCAACCAGTACGTATCGCATGCAGCAACAACGTGCCATGCATGGACGTGGATCTTATGGATATAAGGCTAAGACCTTCCGGAGGAATCAGAGGGTTACAAACTCATCAGCAACAACAAGCTTTGTGTTGGAACTCGTACGGCAAAACACAAGGGCCTTTGGTTCCTTCAAGTATTGGCTATTGCTTGAGGAAGAGTAATATTGGTGGTTATTATTCACAAAAAGTTTCTCGGTCCTATGACAAGATTTGCCCTTCATAAAAGTATAAAACCTTAAATCGAAATTCAATATTTAGGTTTTCGGCTAGAGGTCATCAGATAAATTCTAGATCAGTAATGCCATGCATCGATTCTAGGTATCTATGTTTTACTATATTTGCTATTTAATTTGTGTTTATTTTGGGAGGTCATGATGTATCCTTTTGCTTCCCTTCTGCAACTTTTTGTGGATGTGAGTGTAAGTGCACTCTATACCAGGAGCTCAGATAAGTGCACAAGTTGCCGGAACAGGATTGAAGCTGTTCTTGGATACAGGAGTAATGACTAAGTAATTGTCGCTGACGTGGAATAGGCGCCAAATGAATGAATGACGTGGTGATCACAACAGAATAAGTTCAGTTTGGCAAGAAGATATTCGATGGAGATTTGGAGAGATCCAAGATCGAGAAGACTAAACCTAGAAGATCTGAAGACCTCGTGAATATAAAAGGGGTGCTAAGGCTCTTGCTAGGGTTAGCCGTTTCTGAAGCAAAAAAGTATCGCAAGCTTTTTTGTTCTGTTAGAGAGTAAGTTTTACTCTGTTTGAGTTGCAAGAGAGATTAGAGAGTGTGTTCTTGTAATTCTCTTGTGAGTCTTAGAAATCTCAGGTGACAAGCTAAAAGTAGTTTTAGGTCTTGTGTAAAACCAGTTAAGAGAGTTGTAACTTCTTAACCAGATTTCTAATAAAGTAATACTCAGTGTTTCTGAGTTTGGGAAATACGGTTCTGAGTTCATCCAAATTTCACTTGGTATCAGAGCAGGCATCTGAACTAAGTTGTACTTGACAACAGGTGAGGATCCTGCGGAGAGGATGGACTACCCCAAGGAGTTTATTGCTATCGGTAAGTCAATCATGCTGGAAAAAGGAAACTACGGTCATTGGAAGGTGAAGATGAGAGCACTCATCCGTGGACTTGGAAAGGAAGCTTGGATTGCTACTAGCGTTGGATGGAAGCCCCCAGTCACTAAAGGTGAAGATGAAAAGGATGTGATTAAGTCAGAAGATCAGTGGACTGACGCAGAAGAAAAAACAGCTACAACAAACTCAAAAGCTTTGTCTCTGATTTTCAACTCTGTGAATCAGAATCAGTTTAAACGAATCCAAAACTGTGAATCTGCTAAGGAGGCTTGGGATAAACTTGCTAAAGCGTATGAAGGAACAAGCAGTGTAAAGCGATCTCGGATAGATATGTTGGCATCGCAGTTTGAAAATCTGACCATGGATGAGATGGAGACCATTGAGGAGTTTAGCGGCAAGATCAGTGCTATAGCTAGTGAAGCACACAACCTTGGTAAGCAGTATAAGGACAAGAAACTGGTTAAAAAACTACTGAGGTGTCTTCCTTCAAGGTTTGAGAGCAAGAGAACTGCTATGGGAACTTCACTGGACACGGATACAATTGAGTTTGAAGAAGTGGTTGGCATGCTTCAGGCATATGAGCTAGAAATCACTACTGGTAAAGGTGGTTCCTCTAAGGGCTTGGCCCTAACTGCGTCTGGTGAAAGGAATGAGATTCAAGAACTGAAGGATGAAATGAGCTTGATGGCTAAAAACTTTAATCGAGCAATCAGACGAGTCGAGAAGAGAGGATTTGTAAGAGGTCAGGGAGCTGATAGAGACAGAGATCGGAGTGGAAAGAGAAATGAGGTTCAATGCCATGAATGTCAGGGCTACGGACACATTAAAGCTGAGTGTCCATCTCTGAAGAGAAAAGAGCTGAAATGCTCAGAGTGTAAGGGAACTGGACACTCGAAATTTGACTGTGTTGGATCAAAATCCAAGCCGGAGAGATCATACATTGTTGAGAGCGATAGTGAATCTGAAGATGACGATTCAGATGATGATGTGAAAGGTTTCGTTTCATTTGTAGGAATCATAGAAAAAAACTCTGACAGTGATGTAGAAGACAGAGATAGTATTGTCCAAGCTGATGATGAATCAGAAATGGAAAAGGATCTTGATATTGATGGACAGTTCAGGAAAATGTATGACAACTGGTGTCTTCTGAGTAAAGAGAAGATTGCTTGGATGGAAGAGAAGCTAGCAATTTTGGAACTAAATGAAAAACTGAAAGCTGACTTGGCTCTGGAGAATCAGAAGAATAGTGAACTCGTTCAGAAACTCGGGTTGGAAGAGGAGAATGTCAGAGTGCTTTCTCAAGAACTCAGCGATACCCGCAAGAAGATACACATGTTGAACAGTGGAACAAAGAACTTGGATAGCATCTTAGCTTCTGGAAGAACAGGAAAATCCAACTTTGGATTGGGGTATCAAGGAGGAGAAACAAGTGGTAAGACGAATTTTGTTCCAAGCAAAGCTGTACCTGGTGTTCGAAGTCAGACAGGATTCAGAAACCAGACCAGAGCTGTTCCAGCAAGACAACAGTATCAGAACTACAATTATCGTCAGACAGGGTTTCAAAACCAGGCTGGAGCTGTTCCAGCAAGACGACAGTACCAGAACTTCAATCACAGGTCAGTGACAGGTTACGAATGCTACTACTGTGGACGACATGGTCACATTCAGAGATTCTGCTACAGATATGCAGCTAAGGTAAACCAGTTGAAACGACAAGGTAAGCTCTATCCACATCAACACAGAGCTTCAAAGATGTATGTTAAAAGGGACGATCTGTACTGTCATGTAGCATACACTTCAGCTGAAGCAGGTGGGTCAAGGCCGTGGTACTTTGACAGTGGAGCATCTCGACACATGACGGGAAGTCAGTCTAATCTTAACAACTACACTACTGTTAAGGAGAGTAAAGTCACATTCGGTGGTGGAGCTAAAGGAAGAATTAGAGGAAAAGGAGACTTGACTGAAGCTGAGAAACTGCAACTCACAAATGTTTACTTTGTGGAGGGACTTACTGCAAACTTGATAAGTGTAAGTCAGCTATGTGATGAAGGATTAACAGTGAGCTTCAACAGAGTCAAGTGTTGGGCTACAGATGAGAAGAATCAGAATGCTCTTTCAGGTGTTAGAACCGGTAACGACTGCTACATGTGGGAAGAACCAAAAGTTTGTCTTAGAGCTGAAAAAGATGACCCTGTCTTGTGGCATCAACGTCTTGGCCACATGAATGTCAGAAGCAAGTCCAAGCTGGTCAATAAGGAAATGGTTAGAGGTGTACCGGAGTTAAAGCATCTTGACAAGATCGTGTGTAGTGCTTGCAACCAAGGAAAACAGATTAGAGTTCAACACAAGAAGGTGGAGGGAGTGCAGACCACTCAAGTTTTAGATCTCATTCACATGGACCTAATGGGACCAATGCAGACAGAAAGCATTGCCGGAAAGAGATATGTTTTTGTCTTGGTTGATGATTTCTCACGTTATACTTGGGTAAGATTTATCAGGGAAAAATCTGAGACTGCCAACAGCTTCAAGATCTTAGCTCTTCAGCTGAAAAATGAGAAGAAGATGGGAATAAAACAAATCAGAAGTGATCGCGGAGGTGAGTTTCTAAGTGAAGCCTTTAACAGCTTCTGTGAGTCTCAAGGAATTTTCCACCAATACTCAGCACCTAGAACTCCACAGTCTAATGGTGTTGTTGAAAGGAAAAATCGAACTCTTCAAGAAATGGCCAGAGCCATGATTCATGGGAATGGAGTCCCTGAGAAGTTTTGGGCTGATGCCATTAGTACTGCATGCTATGTCATAAACCGAGTGTATGTCAGGATAGGGTCTGATAAAACTCCCTATGAGATCTGGAAGGGGAAGAAGCCAAATCTAAGTTACTTCTGAGTATTTGGATGTGTCTGTTACATCATGAATGATAAGGATCAGCTGGGAAAATTTGATTCTCGCAGTGAAGAAGGTTTCTTTCTTGGTTATGCTACCAACAGTTTGGCATATCGAGTTTGGAACAAGAGGAGGGGAAAGATAGAAGAGTCAATGAACGTTGTCTTTGATGATGGAAGTATGCCCACTTTGCAAATAATTGCAAGTAATAGTGGTGAAGCTCACAACTCAACTCCAAGGATCCAAGAAGTGGAAGGAAATGAGAATCAAAATGTCAGTGAAGCAAATGAATCAGAAGAAGAATCTGATGAGGAAGTTCACTCAATCCAAGTACACCGTAATCATTCTGCTGGGGATGTAATCGGAGATCTGAATGGTGAAAGAGTAACTGTGGAAGTCGAAACTAACACAATCGAGATTTGTCTAGGGTTTTCATTTAGGGATACGATTTGCGAGAATTCTCAAAGAACGACAGAATCAATTGATACCAAAGATGGTGTTCTTGATATTATTAAGAAAAAGATGACTTTGATCGTACAAGAGTTTGATCGTAAAAGAAAAAGGTGTTTGTGCTGTGAGAGCTTTGCGTAGTGTAAATTCTAGAGCGATATCCCTTGCCCCTTCGTTTGAGCCTTGAGTCTCTTTATATAGGGATGATAAACCGCCTCTCCAGCGATATTCTCGGAAGATTTCCATTTATCTTGAAGTCGGCCAGAATATCGCGGATTAGGACAATTTCCTTATTCTTCGGAGTTTTCGGAAGATTTCCTAATTTGAGTTGATCTTTCGCGATTCTTCCTTATCATTTCCGAGTTTATCGGAAATGATCCTTCTTTTTCGGAAATGATAACTTGCTTGGAAATGATACCTTTAGAGAAGAATATTTACTAAGTCTTTGCTTCGGGCGATGATGAAGACTTCGCCTCGGGGAACTTGTGCAACCGGCTCGGGGACAGGAGAGGCATGGCCCAGGTTCCCGAGGGAAACCGGCTCGGGTTTACAGAAAGAGCCAGCTCGGGGGTCTCGACACGAACCGGCTCGGTTTCTCGGAGTGAACTGGCTCGGGCACTTGAAGGGAGCCGGCTCGGGTTCACAAGCTTGCTGACGGACCCGAACAGACCACGGGTGTTCCCCAAGGCAACCAATGCAGTCTGACCCGAGGTGAATGGCAGTCTGACCCGAGGTGAATGGCAGTTTGACCCGAGGTGAATGACTGTTTGACCCGAGGTGAATGACAGTTTACACCGAGGTGTCTTCAGAAGTTCCCTGAGGCGTTCGAAGTTCGGCTCGGTGCTATGGGATGAAATCCGACCCCAACAGTTAGCCCCCCAGCTCGTTGGTTCGAAGAGCAACCGATGAGCTTCACGACTGTTAGTCCGAGCCGTTTTAAACTTTGTTCCGAGCC